CTCTTTGGTTTTGAGACTTTAGTCTTTGCAACTTCAGGGATCTTATCTATGCACAATCAGCTTGTAACACTCCAAAGAGAAAGGAAAACTTGAAATCGCATCATATGACCCCTTTAAAGTTAAATGAATGAATGTCAAAATAGCAATAAATGTCATTTTTCTACATTTTTAGCATTAAAGATTTACCAACATAAATGAAAAATGCACTTTGTGAAACAGTGCATAATAAATAAGCGCCTGAAAATAGGCTTATTGGAAGTTACCTAGCTGGGGACTATTTTCAGGCGCTGCATAATATCAAAATTTTCAAAAATAGTGGAGTGTTCCTTTAAAAGAAAAAAAGGAGACATAAACCATGTTAAAAGCAGTTTTAGTGATGCACAATTACACGAGTGCTACATACAGTAGTGTGTTACAGAGTATTACACCGTCCGTCACAACTGCGTTTGCATTGTAAAAGTGCTCAAATATCACTCGGATATTTACAATAACCTGCAACAAACAAGCTTCTGATTAGTCCATACGTTACAGAAAAACAGTCATGGTGCATTTTTCTCTTTTATCAGAAATTGCTTGTGAAAGATAAACATCTGAATAAGAAATTTTCTGGGATCTCTTAATTTGTTAGTGCAAGAACACCATTTTACAAAAACTAAATAAAAAGTATGACTGAGAGTTGGAAAATGAGCCTATTTTCAAAAATAGTGGCGTGTTCCTTTGAGACCTATTTAATCTGCGTATAAAACATTAGAAATGAATTATTTGTTTCAAATTTTTATTTTGTGTTTGACTGTTAAAACAAAAACATTTGTTGTTTGTCTCAATAAATTGGGTTAATTTAAAAATACAGTGGTTAAATAAAAAAAAACATTTCTATTGCTCTTTGTTTTAAAAAAGGTTATAAAAAATGTCAATAATTATCGATACCAAACGATATGAAACATTATATCGTTGATACATTTTTTAGCTATATCGCCCAGCCCTATGTCAGTTTGCTAAAACTTTGCTAAATGTCTTAACAGCTTTTTGGATATTGCTTAACATTACTTTCCCTTCAGTGGAACAGGAAGCTCATTTTGGTGGTAAAGGTTTTTATTTTAATGAAACATTGCATAATAAAAAATTTAAAAAAATCACTCATGCATTAAAAACATAGTTCACCCAAAAATGGAAATTTCATCATAATTTACTTAGCCTCATGTTGTTTTAAATCTGTATGAATTTCTTTCTTATGCTGAACACAAAGATATAGAAGAGCTATTATGAAGAATGTTGGTAACAAACAGTTGCTGATAGTCATTGATTCCATAGTATTTTTTCTCCTACTATGGACATCAATGGCTACCAGCAACTTTTTGGTTACCAAAAATCTTCAAAATAGCCTATCTTCTTTTGTGTTGTTCAGCAGAAGAAAAAAACTCATACAGGTTTGGAACAACTTGAAAGTCAGTGAATAATGACAGAATTTTCATTTTTGAGTGAACCATCCCTTAAAGAAAATAAATACGTCTAAGTCTATTTTAATTTCAATGTCAAGGCTTGAACAACAATTTCAAAAACACCAAGTTCAGGCATAATGGTCAAATTTTCAAGAATTTCCATATATGTTTAACATATTATACATTTAGAGATAAGAAGATAAAATATAAGATAGGACAAAGTCCAGTTTGCTGACTGACATGCTGTAATGTGAAGCATAAACAACGCCCATGTATGTCTGCTATTTCCTGTCTCCTCCCACAAACACGTAAGGTCGTGACATCTCAAGCCATGCTGAAACTCCTCATGGCCCTTCAGAAGAACTGAATCAAACAGCCACCATTCCCATCAACCATTTCAAAGCATCAAAATCATTTTAATTGGCAAACCGCAATAGGCAATAGCGAAAGGCGAATCCCTTAGCTGGAGTTTTTCTATTTCCGGAAAAGGAAAACACTTTGAGACGGATAAGCAGAGAGAGAGAGAGAGAGAGAGAGAGAGAGAGAGAGAGAGGGAGGTGACAGAGAGGACTGGTATGGCTCAAGTCAGCATGCTTTGGTTGGTGAGCTCATCGAATGGAAACTATTCATCCCAACCATTTAGTTTTAGCCCAGACCGTTTCTTCCTCCCCCTCTTCTGAGTCACAAATTAGACATGGACTCCAACTCACACTGGCCTGAACGGCAGATCTGTAGAGGGTCAACTGCTGTTTAGAGTAGGGAATGCTAACATAAATAAAAATTATTTTGGGTTTTGTGCTAATTGAGTTGGCGTTTTCCCCTCCTCTTACTGGCAGTTTCTCTAGTAAGTCAAACATTTCCTTTGTCACATAATTTCAAAGTCACAACTTCAGCCATGTGAAGAGCACAGGAAATGCCTAGATAGTGATCTACATCAGACGCTCCAACACTTCATCTAAACTGGCCGCTGCCTGCAATCTGCTGATTCTGTGCTGAATCAGCACCGGTGAACCATTCGTCTCTGACCCCTTCCTTTCAGGTTATAATTTTTGTGGCTGACAGCAACTGAGAACGGGTCCAGATCAGATTCCTTACAAGTTCTTGGAGATCTACCTGGACGTTTTCCTCTCTTTTGTGCTTCCCAGCTGTTCTGGGATGTATTAGTGAAGAAAGGCGGACCAAGGCTGTTTGTGAGAGGGAGCTTGGCAGAGGTGGAGGTATTTGAAGAGGGTGCATGGATCGACTCTGCGTATGCTTTACACCATATCGGGCTAGAACTGGAATTCTGGTCTTAAACATGTGGAATGTTTTCCGTTTAGTTTGTAAGAAACAGATGGGATAATTCAGGTCTTATTTCTTTAAACCTAGTCTAACAACATTCAATTTCACAGAAGGGCTGCACAATATTAAAAAGGAAGCCAAAAGGAAAAAAAAAATTTCTATGCTATTTTGTCTAAATATTATACATAAAACATTAAAAACTAAAATCTAAACCATTGGATTTTATTTAAAAAAACTAAACTAAATTTTAAATATATTAATTTCAAACAAAACAAAAATTTACATTTAAAACTAAATTTTAAATGCTGCATGTGAATTTAGGCATCTTATTATAATGTACAGTATGAAAAATGGATATTCATATTTCATACTGAGATTTGCTAATGGTTAGATTTAAGAGTGTATTTGTTTTTATTAAATTGTTAGTGCTTTTAAAAAACTAACTTTAAATGAGTGTAAGATTAGTAAAAATAGGGGAAATTGGCATTCACACAAAAATATCCAATATCGACAATACTGATAAATAAATAAAAAATCTCTAACATTGGCTGATAACTGATATGGTAGCCATATATCCAATTAATTAACATATCTGATGTTACAATAATGCAGTCATTGAATTGAACAAATTAGCATCCTATTTTAAGTTGTGGATACTCAATATATATGTACATTTCCTAAAACGTCTGAGAAAGTTAATAAAAAAATAATAATTTTAAGAAATACACTTAGCATTACACTTACATTTTAGCAATATGGTGGTATGTTTTGTATGGGTAAAAGATCTTGTTTTTTCTGGTATCAAAAACATAAACTAGTACTAGTAGAATTATACAAGAATAAGAATTTAATACTGAATATTATTAATGCCTCAAAACGATCTGAAAAGCTGTATATGCCACGACAAGCCAAATAACTGAATGAAATCCACAACACAGACGAAAAGTGATATAAATCTACCCTCATCGTCTTTCAGAGTCACTGCTCCACTGCGCCCAGGGATTAGAAGACTGATTAAAGTGAGGGGTGAACTAAAGGACAAGACCTGACAGAAGTTCCTCACAAACAGGACAGTTTCTTCACAATACATTTTGAATTTCCCAAAGTTTTTGGGGGGGGCGTGGCCCCTACCGACAACATCCAAGATCATCTTTGAATATAGAGAAAATAAGATAACTGCTAAACCAAGACTGTACAAAACTACAAATAAGTGGTCTCTACAACCACACGGCAATCTACCTAATAACAGCTCTGTCTAAATTCATATTAGGACTCATTTAAACACACTCACCCCTGGTTTAGGTCGTTCTCTGTGTTGTCCAACCAGAGGCGGACTGCTACCGCGTTGCCTTCACGGCACTGAGTGAAGATGTCATCCATCTCTGCACCCTCTTCTCCTCTCACGCTACCCAAATCGTTCGTCCCCTACCAGGAGCGTCCTGGGAGAGGCGTCTGATGCTGCTGTACCCTAAAGATGACAGGCGAGGGTCTAACAGAACATCCAGCCACGGGAAGGGTGCGATGGGACAGTCTCTTCACAGCCACAGGGCAAGTGTCTGGTGTCGGCGCTGCACTGCAGAGAGACGAGAAGAAGGAAGCTCAGATGAGCTGTTTTGAACACTGCTTGCACAAAACACTCTGTCACAGATCAAGTCACTAGGGAACAAAGACTAAAATTTAAAATAACAAGCAGTTTCAAGGAACAGTTGACCAGAAATGAAAAGTTCAATGACATGATGCTCAATTTTTGTTTTTCCTATTAATTTATTCAAATAAATGTTATTGCAATTTGTGCATACAAGGACTTCAATACACTGCTTCTTCTTAATTAAAAAAAATTTGCAAAAAAAAAAAAAAAACTTTATAAATTATATTTATGAATTACTAATTTATTATATTTGTAAAATAATAATAATAATAACTTTTTACCTTTCTTTTTTGAAAGTACTGATTAAAATGTGTATATTCACATGTATTCTGTTTTAAAGAAAATACCACATGACATTCCTTAGAGTCATTAAATTAGAATGAAATAAGAGACAATTAACAGAGAGTTGTAATTTTTGGGTGAGCTATTCCTTTAATTCACCTCACAGGTTTAAGCAATGGGTTTGGTTCAAATATTTGTTCATTAAATGCTGATAGTGATGAATACCTGTGTAATCATACAAGCATCTGCCTGTTATAACACACATATCACTCCCTTACTGAAGTCCAAATCAACCCTCTGCCAACAATGTGTTTCTTTAATACTCTGACATCACTCCAACTCATACTTTAGTTAAGAAGTCTTCGCAAAGACCTGTCGCACTTATGAAAAACTACTTGTCTGTTTTATTAGAGAATTAAAGAAAGGCTGTGTTATTAAAAACAAAATGAAAAATGTATCTTAAATACACTTAAGAATGTATTTCTTATGTGAACTGTTATGCATTGTATATACTTTGCTGAGTGTGTTGAGAGATTTTGTACAAAAACAGAACAAATACAGTTAGAAAGGGAAACAAATGTGTTCGCTTAGGGAAAATGACAGTTAAATTAGATAAGAGAGACAAAAGCAGAGTGATATCGATTCAGTTATATATATATGCATTCAATCACAGAGACACTCAGAGGTAAACATGATAGTTAATACTCAGAGAAAGAGGAAAAGAATTAGACACACAGACAGACCAGTTATTTTTTTAACAGACAACAGGTAGATGTCGGACAGATTTTGTTTAAACTGACAGACAAACAGATAGCAAAATATACAGACAAAATGCGGACAGATTTAAACAGGCAAACTGTTAGAAAGGTATGTTTCGACAGAGACAATTAACGTTAAGTTCAAATTGAATGGGATATATAGATAGATAGATAGATAGATAGATAGATGTTCAAATATACAGATAGACATGTATGTTCAAAGAGAAAAAGATGAATATTTGTTCAAGAAGACCGATAGAAAGCAAGACAGGCAGGTCAAGAGACAGATAGCGATAGATAGATAGATAAATAGAGTAGGTGTTCAGAAACACAGAAAGGTATTTGCAGCAGACAGACAGATATACAGTCAGACAGGTAACGTTACGTGTGTTCTCTCAGTAGGAGTGACATTAGCCGCGCAGCTAACAGACACTACAGTCAAAGAGTGACTAAAGACTGCGGGTGAACCAAAAGAAAAAAAAACATACGGTTTGAATTATAATTTGTGTAATCATGCACAATGAAATTATTTTTTGACTCCACGCTTTATTTATGGCTATACAACAATAGTTTTGTAGTGTTGTGAGCTAGTGCGCTAATGCTGCTAGCAGTCATATACGCCCACAGTCGCTGAACTACACGATCAACACTCGATTCATGCTCCTCTCACACTCAGTCCATCATAACAACCACCATTACCTGTTTATATGGCCGCTTTTAGCTGGAGCGGATCAACGGTGATGACTGGGACAGTCCAGACCGACACTCTTCCAGCGTCCACACCCTACTAGTGCCCGAGTCTGAGATCTCCTCCCCGCCAACAGCTCATTCCCCGCTGATCACGCCACTGCAGCGCCCCCGGCTGGAGAGCGAGTAAAACAAGCGCCTCGGGACACGATTTCTCTCCTTCAGAACTTCTTCTTCTTTTAAATTTAATGGCGGTTGGCAAACCAACTTAAATGGTGCATTCCCGCCACCTACTGGATAGGAGTGTGGAGCGCATAATGATTAGAAGTTTGAGAACTATACCCAAAAACAAAACAAAACAAACAAAAAAAAAACCAGCTGTCGCCAACCCGCTACAAATCTCACGAGAGTTTCCTGAGGTCAAGTTCTTGGTCAAATGCAAGCGCTCGGCTGCAGGCGAGCCGATCCCTCCTTCAGAACTGTGCCTGCCTGGGGTTATAAATATTCTAAAGTACATGAATTTACCAAAAATCATCCCAACATAGTAAATGTGCACGGTCCTTTCCTTTCGTTGCTGTTACATTAGTATTAGAGCAAAAAAAGGTCTGCTGCTCTATACTACACATAAAATGCAACATGTTACTACAATTAAAATATTATTAGTCACTTGTGTCATCAATAATGTTATAAAATTAATAAATACCATCAACAGATTCTGAAATACTATTTAATTTAAATACTATTTAATTTATTTAATATACTAATTAATTTATAGGAGATCCTGTTTTATATTTATTATAAGTTGGTTGTAAGGTAGTTTCTAGTAATTTTTAATCTTTATGCTGAAGTGATCATGAGGAATTGATGTCTGGAAGATTCTGACATAGGTGTGAAGATTGGAGGCAGAAATATCAACAATCTTCGTTATGCTGATGATACAACTTTATTAGCAGAAACCGAGGATGATCTGAAACAACTTATAATAAAAATTCAAGGACTTCACCTGAACATCAAAAAGACTAAAATAATGTCTACAGCTGGATCTGGAACAATTAACGTAACCATCAATGGAGAAGAGATTGAATGCGTTAAGGAGTTCTGCTTCTTGGGATCTATGATATGATTGACCAAACCGGCGACTGTACACCTGAAATAATGCGTCGAATATCATTAGGAGGTAATGCAATGCTAAGCATGCAACAAATCTGGAAGAGTAAAGACATCAATCGTACAACCAAATGTAGACTAGTCCAGGCAATTGTATTTCCTATATCAATATACGGATGTGAAAGCTGGACTATGGAAAAAAAAAACGATCGAAGGAGGATAGACTATGAGATCAGATTCCCGCCAAATGTATTGCAGTCACGGATAAAAAAAAAAAACAAGCGTGAAACCAAAATTTAAAAACGCAAGTAAAATTATATTGCACAAAATTTAAAAATGAAAGCAAAGTTTTCAGAATAGCAAACAATGGTCACGGATCAAAAAAGTAATGTGTAAATCAAAAATCATGTTTTCCTTGGATATATTTCTCTGTTGTGCTCTCAGACATTTTCTGCACATATTTTTATTTTTTTGTATGCTTATGCTGTTTTTCCCTTCACTCTTTATTCCACGTTCTGCACTTCTTCCAAATGTTGCAGTTAGAGTTTCATGTAAATCAAGGCGGGCTTAAGCGTCATCATTGGTACACTAGTTCTAGATTGACAGCTCCTCCTCAGAGAAATATAGGAAAAGGAAAACATGATTTTGTGTGCAATTCTGATAATTTTGCATTAATATTTCAGTTTTGTGCAATATGATTTTAAGTGTGTTTAAAGTTTTGATTCGTGCTTATTATTTTTTTAAATGCGTTATTACATTTTAGATTTACACTTATTATTTTTTGATCCGTGACCATTGTTTGCTATTCTGAAAACTTTGCTTTCATTTTTTAATTTTGTGCAATATAATTTTACTTGCGTTTTTAAATTTTGGTTTCACGCTTGTTATTTTTTTTATCCGTGACTACAATACATTTGGCAGGAATCTGATCCCATGATATGACCTTGTGGGCACTGCAGGATTTCAGTCCATTGCGGCGTAGTGCATTACCAATGGTTTGCTTGGTGACTGTGGTCCCAACTGCCTTGAGATCATTAACAAACTCCTCCCGTGTAGTTCTGGGCTGATCCCTCGCCTTTCTCATGATCATCCTTACCCCATGAGGAGAGATTTTGCATGGAGCTCCAGACCGAGGCCGATTGATGGTTGCTGTGCATTTCTTCCATTTCCGAATAATCGCACCAACAGCTGTCTCCTTCTCACCAAGCTTCTTGCTGATGGTCTTGTAAAATACCACATACAGATTTAATAATGAATAAAGAAGTCAAATAAATTATCTTTCTATCATGCACTTTTATTAAAAGACACATGTTAGCCGGCAGTACCTAGTTATTCACTGTTTTAGTAGAGGTATTTAAATATTTATGAAACCCATTCCATGATCAACGGTCTTTAAAAGGCTTTTGTGACTTTTGGCTGTTAAGACTGAATATGCAACATAAACAAAATCTCCTAGACATATCTTCTCTGCCATGTCTCAAGATCAAGATGGATTTTGGGGGCTCTGTCCTGCTCCCCCTTCAGACCGTGTTTCAGGGATTGATGTGGTTGTTACACTGCTGGGCTTCAGATTGAGTTTTTCTACTGCACTCAAGATGGGACCTCCATCTACTTTAGGTACACTAGAAGATGTTGAGATCTCTAGTGATGGTGCTACTAGTCCTTCTAAAGACTCATTTGTAAAGGTTTGTGAATTGTTTGGTACTGTGGGCACATCTGTCAATGATTGTGTTTGTCCAAAAGCTGAGACATTTGTCTTTATATCTGATGGATTATTAGAAACTGAAGGTATCTGTGGGCTCTCAAGCATTGGTGTTGTTGCTGTGATGGCAGTAGATGGATTTTCTAATGATGAAGCACCTCCTTGTGCTGCAGCTTCAGCTTTTGCTACTTCTGCAGCTTTGCTCTCCATCTCCTGCATTCGTTTCTGCACCATCGCGGGCATCAGCTGCACATACGTGCCCATTAAATGGTGATTGGTCCTTATTAACTTGCCAGCACAACTGTCAACACATCGCTCCTGGTAAAACAACACAAACAAAAGACAGAAAAGGGAACATTAACATTAAGGGAACTGTCATAGTAAATTTATGTATAATGACCACGGTTTCTGCAGGTTTGATGGGTAACACACTGTTAATATGTTCTCTTAATGTCAATGTGAGTTGTATTACAACTCACAATAAGTTGACTTAGCAACACTTCAGATTTTGAAAATACAACTTCCAACTGATCTCCATCACTTTTTAATTAATTTTACAAAAAAAATTAACTAGCTCTGTTCCCAAACACTGGTATATGGAAAAACACCTCTTTCATTGTACTTCACACTGCAAAAAAGTGATGTTCTTCCTCAGGGTTTTTGTCTTGTGTCATCGTGCAAATGTTTAAAGATTCTTAAAGGAGACATATTATGTCCCTTTTTACAATATGTAATATAAGTCGCTGGTGTCCCCAGAATGTGTCTGTGAAGTTTCAGCTCAAAATACTCCACAGATCATTTATAATATCATTTTGAAAATGCCTATTTTGAGTGGAAGCAGAAACACGCTGTTTTTCCGAAATCAGACGTGCTCGTTTTCTCAGACGCTTGCAGAAAAAGGCTTACCAAAACAAAGTGACTGGGTTAATCTTTTTCATGTTTCCTTGGTTGGTAGATGCACCGGAGACCTGATTATAGCACTTAAAACCTGGAAAAGTCAGATTTTCATGATATGTCACCTTTAAATCAAGATACATGGTCAAAATGAAAACTAACTTTATTTTGTTCCATTTTTCAAGACTTCATTTTACATTTGCATCTCAATTAAGTGTATCTTGATTTATGGACGTTTGGATATTTGTATTGGAAAACAAAAATACGGAGGAAGACATTTTTTTGCAATGCATGCAACATTTAATGCCATGACTTCATGAATTCAAGACTTTCTGCTCTGATTGAAAACTTTTTAAGGCCTTAATTAGTTGAAAAGAGAATTAAGACTTTTTAAGACCTGCAGAATGACAGAAGTCCACCTCCACATCCATAAATGAATAAATAAATGTACACATGCAGATGTAAAAAAGTAAACACTCCTTTAGTTTATTTCTTAAAGGGGTCATATGATGCAATTTCAATTTTTCCTTTCTCTTTGGAGTGTTACAAGCTCTTGGTGCATAAAGAAGATCTGTAAAGTTTCAAAGATCTTTAAAATGGCATCATATGACCCCTTTAATGATTTTGTGAAATTATTTCAAATAATTATGCTCTGCTATGTGAAAAATATTTATATTACTATTGCTATCTTAGTGTATTTTTGATTTGCATTTTTGGTTTATGATAGGGCTGTGCGATATTGAAGAAAAATGCGATATGCGATAACTCATTAAATAATGCGATAAACAACTTCTGAAAGTGAACGGTAAGTGTTTTACTTGAGCATTACATAAAAATGTAATTTTAACATTAATGTAATCATTTTAACAAGAGTTTAAGAACTGGATAATAAAAAGTAAAAATAAAACACTGCTTAGTATTTCCTCTTTAAATTCAATATGCACTGATTCTTATTTAAGCTACAAAAGTTATTTAGGTAAGAGCAGTGAGTGATTTTCTCTTTGTCTTTTGTTCATGGCCCCAAATATTG